TGGAGCCGCTGACAAACCGTAATTCTCAGTATCCGCCATATTGCCTCTTAACATTTCAATTTGTATTACCTCTTAATTACAATAATTTTTATGTGGAATTTCTCTTTACAATCCTTCTACTGAGCTAAAGTAGAGCCACACTGAATAATTTGCAAAGAACTAGAGACTAAAATTCCACTTTTAGCAACTACTGTGCACACTGGAGGGATATATAATACGTAGGTCATACCAAAAGTCATGAGCAACTTTGTTTTGCACGCAACCTGGGAACAGCAGATGAAAGGGAGTACAGTGGTAGGTGGAACCAGCTGTTGTGTTAACCTTGAGTGTCTTGTGACGTCAATAGCTTGCATCACATGACCAGTATCACTCCTAACAAAATGGCAGACAATGATGTGTCGTTTCGCCAGCGTGCTGTCATCAAATTTCTTGTGAAAGAGGAAATCCCTGCTGCAGAAATACACCAGAGAGTTCAGCATGCTTATGGAAGTGTGTGCGTGGGTGCGAGCAGTGTTCGAATATGGGTGAAACATTTTAAAGATGGGAACATCAGCATCGAAGATGAGCCTCGGAGCGGTCATCCTCGAATAGCCTCAACTGAACACAACAAGGAAAGGGTGGATGAAATCATTCAAGTTGACAGGCGTGTGACAGTGGACACAACAGCCCAAAAACTTGGAATAGGGAACAGTGCAGTACAGGAGATAATTGAAAGCTTGGGCTATAGGAAAGTTTGTGCTCGTTGGGTCCCGCGGTTATTGACCAAAGACCACAAAGGTCAGCGAAAAGCCATCACCTCAGAACTGCTGCAGAGATATCGACACGAAGGCAATGATTTTTGCTCTGTATTGTGACAGGTGATGAAAGCTGGTTTCACCATTTGAAGCTTGAAACGAAAAAGCAGCGTATGGAATGTACCATTTGCAGTCTCCTTCAAAAAAGAAGACAAAGACAGTGGCATCAGCTGCGAAGGTCATGGGCACAGTCTTCTCGGATGCAGAGGAGTATATTCTGGCCAAATTCCTGGAAACTGGGCAAACCATCAATGCTGCTCTTTATGTCAAGATGCTGCACAAGCTCCGTCGTGCATTATGCGATAAATGTCCAGGACTGAACTTCATCATCCTGCATGCCAAGGCTTGCCCCCAACACTGCTCGCCTCACATTGGAAGCAATTGCAAAGATGGGGTGGGAAGTTCTTCCACACCCCTCCTATAGCCCTGATCTGGCACCCTCCGACTACCATCTTTTCGGATTTGTGAAGGATCAGCTGCATGGTCAACGTTTTGAGACAAGGGAGGCAATTCAGAAAGCAGTGTGTCAGTGTCTTCGCATGGCTGGAACGGAATTTTACAGAAGGGGAATTTTCAAACTCCCAGAACACTGGGACAAATGTGTACAAAGAAGGTGCAATTATGTGGAAAAATAAAGAAAGGTCTGTAGATTGAGGTTGTGTATTTGGTTTGTCAATANTGCCAAGGCTTGCCCCCACCACTGCTCGCCTCACATTGGAAGCAATTGCAAAGATGGGGTGGGAAGTTCTTCCACACCCCTCCTATAGCCCTGATCTGGCACCCTCCAACTACCATATTTTCGGATTTGTGAAGGATCAGCTGCATGGGCAACGTTTTGAGACAAGGGAGGCAATTCAGAAAGCAGTGTGTCAGTGTCTTCGCATGGCTGGAACGGAATTTTACAGAAGGGGAATTTTCAAACTCCCAGAACACTGGGACAAATGTGTACAAAGAAGTGGCAATTATGTGGAAAAATAAAGAAAGGTCTGTAGATTGAGGTTGTGTATTTGGTTTGTCAATAATAAAGCATGTTACTTTACAAAAAATTGTTGCTCATGACTTTCAGTATGACCCTCGTAATAACCGCTGTCTCTGCTGGCTTCCCAGTTCTTATCTTGAGAAAATATGCCACAATATATACCTTTGAAACAATTAAAACTTTATTTTTAGGAATACTAGGCCAAAGTCAAGTTTGAAGCCCTCGAAAATAAAACTGTGCTGAATATAATAGTGTAATAGGTCACTGGAAAAGGACATTTTAATTGGGTGTGAAATAAGCATATAATGGGCTCCATCTCTTAACTGATGCAGCAATTATACCACATTTTCTCTGAATTATCCCCCCCCCCTTCCATTTTCTTTTTTGAGAAAAGATGTCTGCTTTCAAAATTCTAGTGTCCACAAGCAATGAAATTTGGCAGGAATGCTAACCTCTGCTGGAACCAGAATCTCACAAAATATTATTCAAATCTGAGAGTGCTGGGTTGTGACCTGTGTTGATATAGCATGCATGGAATGACCCAATTCTTATATTGTGAATGTTATATTTAGGTAAATCCAGATAAAAATGGAATGTTTGTTTTTTGATCTGTGACTCATTCCATATCCAATGGTTGTTTCCCAGCCTGTATCTGGATCTATTTTTGAATATGAAATAAATTGAATTGAATTGGAGTAGCAGTAACACTCTACATTTGAATTCAGGAGGTATTTCATTTGAATCTCAGCTGAGACACTGAATATTGTAACTGTGTCCTTCCAGGCAAATGTCAGAACTGGACCTCAACTACACCACCACAACTGATTATTTGCACCTTTCAACACTACGGAGATGGATTAAAAAAATGAGCATGTTGATATAGAACTCACCCCATGTTCAGTCTTAATTTCAAATGACATAAATGGAGGCACCTCCTCCTGTTTCACATGAATCAGCTGGCTTCCACTCTCAGAAGATGTAAGACACATCTCACTGTCTGAATTAGGTTCCGATTTAATCAAATCCATGATATGCTGCAAAAAAGGGATACTGCTACACAACAATACATACAGCCCAATTATATAAGGTTGCATCTCGTCCAATATTACTGTATTTCTTAGATACAGGTATGATACCTGAACAAACTATTCTACCATCCTTAATTACACACTGTCAGCTTATCTTGAATCATAACTATGGAATACTGGATTAGCAATGAAGACAAAGAAAGCATACAACATGGTTGTTTCTGCTTTACTTTACTAGACTATCTCCATTTTGAGTTCTTCGTAGATCAAAATGGAGAAACGGCTGTCAAAATCAATTGGAAATTCAATAAATTGAGATTAAGAGAAACTGTGCATTTATTGCACCTAATTTCAAACACACTGTCTTCTTATTTGAGGATTCAAATACATATCAGAAGCAAACTGTAGCAAAAAAAAAAAAAATTTGGAAGTATCCTAGCTGCAGATGTATTTGGAGTCAACAGTTCATAAGCACAGTGTGTAACCCTGTGTCAACAGGCTCATGAATATTAATGTAATAATGTTTTTATCCCATACATCTAAGAATAATCCAAATATTTTACTATGTATTTAGAAAACTTATTCATTCTATTTCTTTGCGGTTAATTTAATAACAGACAGTTGCTCAGCAAATGATGGACTGATGAATAACGTACTTCATGGGTTCGCAAGGTGTGACTTCATGTTAGGTATAAGACTATCTCACACTTGCCTGGAGGAACTGAGTAAAACCACGAATATCCTCACGATACGTTGTGATGGTGGTGATCGTGGATATAGTCCGCGCCTGGAGCGCGATTCGCAACGGGCGTGCTTGGTAATTGCTCCCTAATTTACTCTATTCAATCTATTAGATAAAATCCCGATCATGTGAAATGAACGCAAGTACCAAAAAGGTTAATTCAAGTCGACTCTTCAAATCGTGATTTCTTTTGGTCATGCCTATGCTACATGATATATACGTAATAATGCTCACGGCAAAGCATTACTTTAACTGACCTAACTGACAACGCATATTCAGTCTACATGACGTTACAGATGCAACTTATTCTCTTAGAAAACGGACATTGGGAATACCATAACCTAAATCACACGGCGTAGATCCTGCGAATTACGTTACCATCTCAGTAGCCAAACGAAACCAAAAACCAAAAAAAA